TTTTAACTTTTACAGAACGCAAATAAATTACGCTAGTTTTAAGAAAATTTATAATTATTATCACATCAAAACAACATGATTTGTCATGATTAACAGTCAGTCGTTCACTTCTGAACCGACTGTACGGTTGAACTCTCTGCTTTCGGGCGGGGAGGAACCCGAACGAGGCTACGCCGAAGGGCGGACTCTCTTTCGGGGAGGTAAACCGGCTCTGAACCCGTTTATACGGGTTCAATGGACATATTTAAGGCCGAGCCCACGGGCTCGGAGAACCCACAATAAATAACCGACCTTGTGTCACATGATGTCCCAGTGGGGGGGGGGTGACTGGATATCGTCATGATTAACAAACTATTTAACATGTTCAAAATAATCCCCTTCATGTTCAATACAACGCTGAACCTATCAGCAAAACTTCTACAAACTTTTTCACATATTTCTACATTAATTTCTGAAAATTAATCAGAAATTGCTTGTTTTAATTCAGGAATTGTTTTCGATTTGAGCCGTATACCCAACAAGAAAACAATCGCAGTAATGAAAACCTGGGAATATAAAATTCCAAGATTTGGGGTCTGGATCCACGCCGGAATGTCTTTAATTTGCTCACGAAGCCGACCTGATTCCAAAATGGTATGCTATGTTGGGCTAGGGTCTCTAAGAGTATATTTGAAAATATGTGACACAGTGACACACTGACATTCGTATTTATTATATATATATATATATATATATATATATATATATATATATTGAACAATAAAAAATATTTAAAAATTAAAATCTTCAGACACACTGGGTTGTAGATTAATATTCTTTCGTTTTTTTTTTTTTATTATTATTTCATTTAGATTCCTCGACTAGTTTCGGCCGAAATGGCCATAATCAGTAGAAGAAATATTTCTGCTTGCTGGTAGCAGTGAACTACAGAAATATATATATATATATATATATATATATAAAGATATTTTGCAGGTACAAAATTTAATGATCGAAATAATAGTATAAAATTTAATATTACAAGACATATTAAAACAATATTAAATAAAAAAAAAAAAAAAAACTCAACAACAAGGGGGGGAAGGTTGCTACCGGTTGCTTCCACCCTCCTTTGTTGTTGAGTTTTTTTTTTTTTTTTAATATTGTTTTAATATGTCTTGTAATATTAAATTTTATACTTTTTATTTAATATATATATATATATATATTTTTATATATATATATATATATATATATATATATATATATATATATAAAAGAGAGAGAGAGAGAGAAAGATAGAGTGAGGGAGGGGGGAGGAAGAAATAGATTGTGTGAGAGAAATAGAAAATAGAGTTGGAAATATGCATGTGGAACGTTTCCCAGACTATTACTACAGAACTAAGGCTCCCTTCACTAAAACACTGATAGACTTAAGTCTGGTGACCGTGATGGTCACTTAATTGCTTCACGTCGTCCAATCCACATCAGCTGGAAATTAAGGCTTAACTATTCCCGAACGTGAAAGCCATCTTAATCCATCTTAAATTACTGTAATTTATTTTTGTATAGTAAAAGTTAAATAAAAAGGCGTTACTCGCACCGCACCCTCTATATTAAATCTTTCTTCTTTTAAGAGATATATTCAACATTTGTTACTTATGATTTTCATGTTTTAGGAAAGTAAATATGCTATTAGCATTTATAGTTTTTCTTTCATTGTTACATCACGACAGATGATTCATTTGCAGGTGGAAAAACACAATGTATTTAAGAAAAAATGTCTTTTCTTTTGTTTGAATAAAAAAAATATCGCACGATTTTTCGTGATAAAATCTGTTCAAGTTTGTCTTTCTTTCTTTCTTTCTTTTATATATTAATATTTTTTTATTTTAAATTCGTCTCCGTTAAAATAAACATTTATTAAAAATAAATGAGTCTCCTATATGAAAATGTGCCAACATACGAACATGATTTGGCTTATGTTTTATCTCGGAAGAAAACAAAGAAGTGAATAAAAAAAAGAGAGATACTGTAAATATTTATCTGCATTTTACGTGAGATATAAAACATTCATTGCTGGAGCCATTACTCTAAAACTTGTTGAATCATTTCACCCCAAGCTAGGCGATAATGCGACTAGGACGCAAGGGAGAGAAGGAAAATGAGAAGACATTAGTTAGGAGAAGTGAGGTAAAGGACAATAAAGGGGCAGGTTTAGAAAGTCATAAGATAGCGATTGAGACATAACATTTTTGAAGATTGTAGGAGGGAAGCATGCAAGAAATCGGAAGGGAGTTCCACAGGCGAGAAGTGCGAGAGAATAAACTATCAGAACAGAACAGAAGGTTGTATCTAGCATGCAACCGTCAGTTCTAATTTAATAGTTTCTTCTTGCCTGTAGAACTGTTGTATCGTCGAGCTGAATGATACACAGAGAAGAATAAGTGGTTAATATATTTATTCAGCACCAGTATCCGGTGCTAACGGATACATACAAAAAACACAGAACAATAAGTTACAAAACAATTAACAAGACAACTTATAAGGAATAGATGAGGGTCAAATGCTGTATAACTAAACGAAGTATGATCAGTCCAAATATTAAATCGTTTTAGTATCAACTTATTAACCAACTTATTAATCAACTGTAGAAGTCCCTAATCCTAGACTATTTAAGGCTATGAGCCAGGCCATCTGGTAAAGTTAGGTACCTCTCAATGAGACCTAACTGCCAATCTAGTAGCGCGCTTAAATTTAGATAGTCGAGGCTCTAGGAAAAAAGCACATCAGAATATATTGAGAGACAGAAACAATGAGAGGAAACAAAGTAGGGATATTTTAAAATTTTGGTAAAACTCAACAAAAATTTATGGAAGTTGGCATTGCACCAGAGGTGAAAGAGTTCCTGCCTTGAAAAATCAGCATTCGAAATTCTGACTTTTCTCAATTCACTGGAAACAATAGGAATTACACAACAAATATAGTGATACAGATCTAGGTTCGAACGCCAAACTTTTCTGTTAACCTGATGAATACTTATGAGTGTTCTTAAATTTAAAAATTTTGAGTAGCTGACAAATATATACTTGTTGCAAAATAAAACCATCACATTTGCCTTGACATCAATCAGATGACGAAACACATCGGCCAAAAACTAAGTATAGATTTCCTCTTGTCTTTTCATTCACACACACACACATATATAAAGCTTCAACGTCGCCCTATCGGGCGGCATTTAAGCTAGCTCTTGATTGGGCCTTCATCACAATATGTAGGGACGAGTAGATGCGATAGGCAACAATAAACTACTGAAGAACGCAAAACTGATCGTTACATTTAAGTATTGCACTAATATTTAAGCTTACCTATTAAACGTTCAACGATAATTCTTCTGACGCCACTTAATTTAAAGAAACTTTGATGTACGTAGGTCCTTACTTTCCGTACAAACAATTGTTTTTATTTCATGAGTGACTTTCACTGGATCTCTCAATTAATTTCGATTAGTCCCAAATTTATTTCCAACTTATAAAAATTGTTATCATACAAAAAAAAAAAAAAAAATTGTCTCAAAAATCACGTAAAAAGTCGCTGAAAACAATCGCAGTAATGAAAACCTGGGAATATAAAATTTCAAGATTGTGGGTCTGAATCCGACCCGGAATGTCTTTAATTTGCTCACGAAGCCGACCTGATTCCAAAATGGCATGATATGTTGGGCTAGGGTCTCTAAGAGTAAATTTGAAAATATGTGACACAGTGACATTCGTATTATATATATATATATATATATATATATAGAACAATAAAAAATATTAAAAAATTAAAATCTTCAGACACACTGGGTTGTAGATTAATATTCTTTCGTTTTTTTTTATTATTATTTCATTTAGATTCCTCGACTAGTTTCGGCCAAAATGGCCATCATCGGGAGAAGAAATATTTCTGCTTGCTTGGCTCAGTAAACTACAGAAATATATATATATATATATATATATATATATATATATATATAGAGAGAGAGAGAGAGAGAGAGAGAGAGGGGGGGGAGAAATAGATTGGGCGAGAGAAATAGAAAATAGAGATGGAAATATGCATGTGGAAAGTTTCTCAGACTATTACTACAGAACTAAGGCTCCCTTCACTACAGAACTAAGGCTCCCTTGTCTCATACTTTGTTAAACAATGCAAATGTGATGCTTACCTAGTTGTTGAGATAATTACCTATTTTCAACAGTTATCAGTGAGCGGAGTTCGAATAGGAGTAAAAACCTGACAGTTCGAACGTTTATTTTAAAGGCAGGATTTTTTTTTTTTTTTTACCATAGGTTTAACTAAATCTTCCCGCCTTTATTATTCCGTTTAATTCAGCTAACATCAAACAGTATAAAAGAAAAAAAGAGAGAGGAAGATAAAGTGCAAGAGCGAGATAAAGAAAAAGAGACTAGAATGAAATATTAAGAGAGTGGTTAAGTGAAAACTATGAAAAAAGAGCGAATGAGAGAGGCAGACGGACAAAATGAAACTGAAGGAAAAAAAAAAAAAAAGTGTGTCGTTTTAGTAAGCTGAGCTAACTTAGAACAGTCAAAAAGAAAATGAGAACGAGGAAAAGAAAGTGAGAGAAGGACAAAAAGAGAAATGAAAATGAAATATCATAAAGACAGAGAGTGGTTCAGTGATAGAGAAAACTATGATAAAAGAGAGAAGGGGAGAGGGTAGACAGAGCAAAATTGAAGGAAAAGAAATGTCTGTAAAAGAAAAACGTAATAGAAAAATAATGAAGAAAGACAAAGAAGTTAAAAAAAAAACGAAAAGAAAAGAGACAGAAGTATGAAAAAAAAAAACCCCAAACACAAGAAGAACAGAATAAACGAACCGAAAGAGATAGACACGTTATATTGACAACGTCAGAAAGAAAGAAAATGTAACATGACCAGTTATAAACGGAGATAAATAACAAAAACAAAGTTTAACAAGAAAGGATCAAAAAAAGATGGCGATCAATGTGCAAAACTTACCAAAAAATGTGTGAAATTCGTGCATAAGTTTCTCCCGTCGAAATGACGATAGTTGAAAGTCAGGTTTTAGCTCCGAACTGTTCTCATTACCCATGACGAATAGAAATAATTTCAAACGGCCAGAACAAGGACACTAATTTCACTACAGACCCCGGTTCAATGTTTTTCTCCATAGATCTCACATACCCACCGTCGCCTTCTCTTACACTCTAAATCATACACCTCCTTAGTGCTTCTGAAAATGTCTTTCTTTCTTTCTTTTCCTCGTGCATTTTTCTCTATATATCGCTTTCTCTCTTCTCACCTTTTTGTCGCTTGCGTTTATATTTTCTGTTCAGTTTTGTTTTTGTTTCTCCTTTGCTCAGCTAATTTCTCGCACATTTTTAAAAAATAAAATCAATCTCTCTCTCTCTCTCTCTCTCTCTCTCTCTCTCTCTCTCTATCTATCTATCTATCTATCTATCGATCTCCGGTCTTTTTTATACGTTCAACATTTTTTTGTTTTCTTAACCATTTTATCGTTCGCAAAAATTTACTCCCTCTCACTTTCTCCACCTTTGACTTTCTTTCTTTCTTTCTTTCTCTCTTTCTTTCTTTCTTTCTTTCTTTCTTTCTTTCTTCATAAACTTTTTCTTTGTTTTCTTAACCATTTTCTCGTATCATTTTGTAAGGATTCACCTGTCTTTCTTGGTCAGCCATATTATTTTCTTTCTTTCTTTCTTTCTTTCTTTCTTCTACGTTCTAAATTTGACTTTTTTCTTTGTTTTCTCAACCATTTTCCCGTATTATTTTGCAAGAAATCACCCTCTCTTTCTTTTTTTGCACCTTTCTTTCTTTCTTTCTTTCTTTCTTTCTTTCTTTCTTTCTCGTTCTATGCGTGATATTGGTTTTCTCTCTCCTTTCTTCCTCTTCTTCTTTCTGTTCTAAAATCAACCTCTTTCAAATTTTCACTGAATCCCTCAAAAATGTTGTCTCTTTCTCCTTCGTTCTACTCGCAATTTTTATTTTTCTCCACCTCTTTTCTATATCCTTGATTTCCTTTCCTTTATTCTTTTGCCTTAACTTTCTTTTCCTTTTCTTTCACCTCTTCGTCTCTCTTCCTTCGTTTCTCTTTCTACTCTCTTCAAAGATTTCTCATCTCTTTTTCTCTGGCGTGCTCCCCTCCTCACTGAGTCTCCATTTCAGCCAGGAAAACCAACTGTCGTTGTGGCCGGCCAAATCGATAAATCGATTACAGAAATTCCAGAATGGCTTTCATGCACACCTGCTAAACTTCTCTAATAACTTATGTCGAACGTCATTATTACCTTTACATTCACTTAAGACTACTACACGTGTGCATTAACACATACATACATACATACATGCACATATATATATATATATATATATATATATATATATATATATATATATATATATATATATATTATAATTATTTTCTATTTTAAAAATATGGTTCCATCGCTACACAGGAATTACCGTGTTTCAAAATAGAAACTAAACTTAATTAAATTTAATTATAAAATTAAATTTAAAATCCATAGCCCTGTTCCATTCTCAAGCGATTTTTGATTCCAAAAATATAATATATATAAAAAAAAATTGTAAAAATGATAATTAAAGCGATTTTTGATTAAAAGAAATCGCTTGAGAATGAAACAGGGCTATGGATTTTAAAACTAATTTTATAATTAAATTCAAAAGTTTAGTTTCTGTTTTGAAACATGGTAATTCTTATGTAGCGATGGAACCATATTTTTAAATAGAAAATAATTATATTATGTTCTACTTTTTTGCATTGGCACTGTTTTTTAAAAATAAAAATACTTACTAAGAACACCGGATTGTAAATCTTACTGTTCTTTCTTATTATTTAATATATATATATATATATATATATATATATATATATATATATATATATACAGTGTAACCCGGATATAAGAGAGTTGTCGGGACCGGAGAAGTCTCTTATATCCGGGTTTTCTTATATCCGGGTTACACTGTACTGGACTCTCCCGTCGTTTTTCGACGTATGAGGGTCAAGCAACGCAGTTCCTAGGAACCGACAGCCAGACACCTGCACATATGATTTGATTGCAATGGTGAAGGCTTTTTGCATAATCAACCACGCAGGTTTTGAATTCAGAGTTGTCCTGCGTATATATATATATATATATATATATATATATATATATATATATATATATATAATAAATGCGAATGTCAGTGTGTTACTGTGTCACATTTTTTCAACTTTATTCCTAGAGACCCTAGCCCAACATATCATAACATTATGAAATCAAGCCGACTCAGTGAGCAAATTAAAAACATCCCGGGCCGGATCCGAACATGCAATCCTGAAATTTTACACATTCAAGTTTTCAGAGTCTGTCTATATTTATAAGTACATATTTATCTGTACATTATTTACATTATTCGGACTATTGTCCTCATCTTTGTCGCCATATTTATCACTACGTTTCGGTCGAATGTCGAACTGAACCCTTTATTTCGCTCACCGGGGTAGACTGTTCTAGTTCCACATGCCCTTTTTGATGGATGTCAGTTATCTCCTGTTAATTTCCCTCTGAAAGTTCTCCACTTCCTTAACCGTGTATTGAACTCACACTCTTTGGGTCAAGTCACTGGATCTAACCAACACTTTATCCCCTGTGCCATGTGCCCTTGAGGTAAATATGGCGACAAAGATGAGGACAATAGTCCGAATAATGTAAATAACGTATATAATATCTCATCTCAGAAATATAGACAGATACTGAAAGGCCGAAATATTGTAATAAATATGGCGACAAAGATGAGGACAATAGTCCGAATAATATAAGCAATGTACATAATACCTCATCTCAGAAATATAGACAGATACTGAAAGACCGAAACGTTATAATAAATATGGCGACAAAGATGAGGACAATAGTCCGAATAATGTAAATAATGTACATAATACTTCATCTCAGAAATATAGACAGATACTGAAAGGCCGAAACGTTGTAATAAATATGGCGACAAAGATGAGGACAATAGTCCGAATAATGTAAATAATGTATTCAAGTTTTCATTACAGAAATTGTTTTCGGCAATTTTTTACGTGATTTTTTTTTGGCGACGAATTTTTTTTTTTTTTTTTTTTGTACGATAACAATTTTTATAACTTGAAATAATTTTGGGAATAATCGAAATTAATTGCGAAATCCAGCGAAATTAGCCCATGAAATAAAAATAATTGTTTGTACGGAAATAAGGGACTATGTACATCAAATTGTCTTTAAAAATAAGTGGCTACAGATGAATTATCGTAGAATGTTTAAAAGGTAAGTTTAGATATTAATGCAATACTTAAATGTAGCGATCAATTTTGAGTTCTTTTGTAGTTTATTGTTACCTATGACATACGGCAAGCAGTATGCCTCGCAAAAACAAATCTTCACCAACAGTGGACCAAATTGCAATCAAAAGGACCAAGATTGCAGCGAGAAATACAAAGTCCAGTGCAAATGAAAACCCTGATCAAACGGCAGCCAGAATAGCTTCTAGCACAGAGAATATGCAAAGCTGAAGGCCAAATCAAGAGCTCGCCGCAGGAGCTAGCTTAAAATGCAAAGACGAGCGACAAAATGTCAATTATAATGAAAACTGAATAAGCGACATTCGCGTGATTTTCGTTCTCCTTTAGACTTGGCAACAAATCGTAAACCATTCAAATATAGAGAACAGATGTGCACACGCACAAATCTCTCACGCTAGCACTCTTTCTAAATCTCTCTCTTTCTCTCTCTCTCTCTATATATATGTGTGTGTGTGCGTGTGTGTTAGTCAATTTATATCTATCTATCTATCTATCTATCTATCTATCTATCTATCTATCTATTTAAAAACCCAAGTATCTTTGAAGTCATTTCTGATTTTGTTATATATAACATACAATTTGTAATACATTTGTAATTTGCTATTTTTTTTGCGTTCAAAACATCAAGTTTGTGATTATCTAAATCTGAAGTCCATTTTTTACTATCAACAGAAAGGCATTGCTAGAATGATTTAATTTAGTTGTTTTTGTGTGGATGCGATGTGCCATTTAAAAGTATTCCAAAGCATAAGGCGCAAAATGGCTTCCGTGAAGAAAGAAAAAAAATTAGTGAAAATGTTGCTTTTTAGTTCGCGTGATTTGAACAAATTCAACAATCTGATTAGTTTTCTGTGTCATCCCTGATATTCAACAAAAGGCACGAGATCAAAACAGTTTTTTTTTAAATTGCTGCTTGAGTATTTTTAAAACATTAATAATAAAAAAATTAAACTAAGTTACCTCCCTTACATATTCTTAAATGGACTATAATGAAAACCGTTTCATACACATTTACAAAAAAATTCACAAATAACAATTACATGAATTTTTGTCCTAGCAATTCACCCCTGAAGATGATCTGAAATGAAATTGAAAGTACTCGGAAAATAATAGAAATAACTAAAACTACGGTGTCTTTCTTAATCAGATTTGTAACAGCACTAAGAAATTGATCCGTGAATTTGAGAGGATTAAAATAAAAATAGACATATGTCTAGATTATTTAGCCAAGCATACTTGAATGGAGATATATTGCCTATATATATATATATATATATATATATATATATATATATATATATATATATATATATAATTATTTATTTAAAAATATTTTTAAATAAATAAATAAATAATTATATTTAGGCTCTACTTTGTATCGAGCACTGTTTTTTAAAAATAAATACAAAAAAGTAAAGAACTTTGGATTATTTACCTAAGGAGTTCTTTCGTGTTTTTATATATATATATATATATATATATATATATATATATATATATATATATGTAAAGTGGAATCGGACTACAAATTCCAATCGTGTTCGTTGCCTTCAATTTCTCACAAATATGCTTGGCAAAGGCACGAGTGTATCACACACACACACACGCACACACATACATATATATGGTATAGATTCTGTTATATTTATAAAAAT